AGCGGTCACTGGGGTTGTGGTGGTGGGGGGAGGCATTTTTGAATTTCCTGCCTTGTGCAGGGGGCTGGACTAGATGACCCTGGAGGTCCCTTCCATGATTCTGTGATTCTATGACCGTACCAGTCCTTGCATCAACCTGGATGGCAGAAGAGCAGATGAGGGGGTGGGAATTTGGCCTCACGCCCGAGTGCCCGTGTGGTGTAGTGGTCAGACTGTTGGACTAGGATCCGGGAGGCCTGGATTCGAATCCTCGCTCTCCCATAGAAGCTTTGCTGGCCAGCCTCGGGCTGGTCATGTACTCTCAGCCTGGCCTACCCCACCAGGAGGTGGGGAGACCAGCAGATGCCCCCCTCAAAGCTCCTTGGAGGAAGGGCAAGGGGAAAGCTTGAGAGAGAGAGAGAGAGAGCCAAGGGCTTCTCCAACCCGAAGAGGTGAGATGCCCGAGCTTTCCTGGCGCTTTCTAAACACTTGAAACATAACGTATTGAGCTGGTGCTGCCCTCTCCTGCTGAGGACGGCCTTGGCTACATTAGAGGTGAATGGGCACACAGAGGGAGGGTTCCGACAGTCACCGACTAATAGCATTATGGGGAGGAGAAGAGATTGGATTTATGCCCCCCCCTTCACTTGGAGTCTCAGAGCGGCTTACAGACTCCTTTCCCTTCCCCTCCCCACAACAGACACCCTGTGAGGTGGGTGGGGCTGAGAGAGCTCTGACACAAACAGCTCTTTTTCAAGGACAGCTCTTGTCAGAACTATTACAACAAACAGGACCACGGTGTAATGTAACCAGTAAAACAGTAAATCACCGTGTACAAATAAACAATATAAGTTGATTTTTATCTGTAATGTTTTAGAATTCAATTTTCAACAAAATTACAACCATAACACTATAATATGCAATATAAAGCTTAGCAGTACATAGAGAATACTACAGTACTAGTTTTAGACAAACGACGGAGTTCTAGTACACTGTCCGTTTGCGAGTCCTTCTTCAGGTTTGTCATTCTGTACTAATATCTTCATTAAAATGAAGTGCTGCAAGCCATATTGCAAAATGTTAATTCTTATACAATTTTTTGATGTATGCTACCGCGCTTATTCTGGTGACTGGGGAGCTCCTATAGCAAGCTCTAATGTGACAGGGTCTACAGTATATAATAATTGGCTAAGCTTCCCTCAGTGACTGAGTACTGTAGTATTCTATATGTACTGCTAAGCTTTATATTGCATATTATAGTGTTATGGTTGTAATTTTGTAATCAACTTATATTGTTTATTTGTACATGGTGATTTACTGTTTTACTTGTCAGAACTATGGCTTGCCCAAGGTCATCCAGCCAGGTGCAGGTGGAGGAGTGGTGGAATCAAACCCGGCTCTCCCAGATTAGAGTCCGCGCACTTAACCACTACACCAGTTTCTTTTTCTGAAATTCATTTTGTTAGATATAGCCATCGATTCCTCTTCTTCTCTCTTTTTCCTTCTTTGAAGAGAAGTCAGTGCAGCCTTTTGTTACTTCAGCCCTCGCTTTGTGCAACATGCCCGGGTGTTGCTCTAACAGGAAGGCAGGAAGGTTCAGAGAGACGCTGCCTGCCTCTGAGCATCTACAGAGTGCAATTCTTAAAGTTTTGCAGAACTTCCCTTCTTGTTCTATGAATTTCTGGTTGATCAAAACAGAATTGATTTGAAAGAGACTCCCAAGTTCGCCCAAAGAGGAAAAGAATCAGATTGTTGGGGGATCAAGGAGAAATTGGGTGTAAAGAGGGACTGAACAGCATTTTTCTTGACAATGCCGCTTCTTGATCCCGGTTTCTCCCCAGAATGTGGAACTGCCCGACTCGTTTTCCGCTGAGCTGAAGTCCCTTCTGGAAGGGCTCCTGCAGCGAGACGTCAGCAAGAGGCTGGGCTGCCAGGGGGGCAGGTGAGTCCGGCAGAAGGATGCCGCTTTCCCTCCTCCCTGGAAGGCTGCTTCCCTCCTGCCTTCTGCCCTGGAAGGAGCTGCAGTCTGGGAGAGGCAGGAAGCCTTTGGAGAGGTTTATGGACACCTGCGTTTCCATTCTTTTTTCTTCTGTGAGCCGAGTCCAGATATTACTATGGGTCATTTCGTAGAAAAAGAGGTGCAGGAGCTCATTAGCATAACTCATTAGCATAACTTATTTGCATATGCCACACCCCCTGACAGCACCGGAAGTGTGTCACAAGGCAACACCCGCCGCTCAGGCTCCACTGGACTGTTTTGGATTGCTAGCTGGGGGGGGGGGGAGAGGAACGTGCAGATCTGTCCTTGCAGAGGAGGGAGAGCTTGTACCTGAATAAAACTTGGTCTTAGAGGTGCCACTGGACTGTTTTGGACCGGGGGGCCGCTTACCTGGCTGCTTCTTGCTCTGACGGAGGGCTGCTGGGAGCAGGGGGTGGGTCTTGTTGCATGTGCCCGCCCCCTGGGCTCTTTACCGCCGGAGCTCCGCTCCTGTGCGCACCTGAAGGAAGTGACCCCTGACTATGGCTCAGTCTAGCCCAACTTTGCTTCTCCTTTTCCCCTTAGTGCGCAAGAAGTAAAGCAGCATCCTTTTTTCAAAGGGATCGACTGGCAACATGTCTATCTGCAGAAGGTGAGCCGCGGCAGCTGCAGCGTCCTTGAGTGGTTCTGTGCTGATCAGCTCCTTGGCCTGTTGAGGTGCCTGAGACTGCAGGGCGGAAGGGCTTGAGGATGCCCGTAGAAACGAGAGGCCCGAGTTCATGTCTATGCAGGCGCCATTTGGGTCGCTTAGCACTGCCTCTTTGCCCTGCGGTCCCTCGTTTCCCGTGGCCGTCCCCTCTGCCGCTGCCTGGCCCAGGGTGCAGGTTTCCCCTGTCGCAGCCCAGAGGGGCCATTGCTCAAGTGTGCCTGCAGAAGGCCCGGGGGGGGGGGCTGTTCCTGTCCCCGGCACCTCCAGGGAGCAGCTGCTGAGGAAGCCCCGGGGGCCAGGAGAGCCGCCACCGGAGAGCAGGCAGTCCTGGACGAGGTGGCCACAGGGTGTGTGGCTTGGCTGAAGGGGCGGCCCATAATCCAGGGCCAGAGGCCGTGCTTCGGGTGCAGAAGGTCCCAGCTAACAGGTCTCAGGTTGCAGGTGCTGGGAAAGGCTTTCCACTGCGGGCCAGAGAGGGTGAGTCTGGCAATGACTCCGCAGGGGGCTACTTTGCCTGCTCATCCCTGCCCCCCTTCCAGTCCGCCTAACTTGGCTTCCCCCCTGCCTCTTTCCGTGGCCCTCCGCGTGATTCCGCCCCCCTGCCGGCTTCTTGGTCCTGTGCCCTCCCCCCAGCCCCACTTCTTGTCAGTGCTCTGCTGCAGCAAACCTGTGAACCTTTTGGTGGTTGGGGCGAAGGGGTCGCTGTCGTGAACGGCCAGGCAGCGCACTGCAGGGCGTGGCCCCGTGTGCTGGGATGGAAGTCTGTGGGAAACAGTTGGGGAAGAGATTTGTGCCTTGCAGGGGAACGCTCTTTCTCTGGCCAAGCCCTAGGATAGGACTCCGGTGTTTGAAGGTGGCTGGTCATCTCCGGTGATTGACCACAGTCAGTTACGGGTTGATCGCCTTGGCGGGGGGGTGGGAGAGACGATGGATGTGAACCGCAGCCATCTCCGCTGCCCTTCCTTTGCAGTACACTCCCCCCTTGATTCCTCCCCGAGGAGAAGTGAACGCTGCCGACGCTTTTGACATTGGCTCATTCGATGAAGAAGACACAAAAGGCATTAAGGTTGGTGGGAAGGGGGGCGTTTCCCTTCTGCCTTTGCCTGGCTGATCCTCCAGCAGCAGCAGAGGGGGCAGGGCGCAGCCGGCCTCCTCCCTTTCAAACTGCCTGGCCAGTCCGGGTCCACAGCCCAGAATGGGGCAAGGGGGGTTGGGGGTAGATGGGTTTGGTGAGGTGAGGCTGGGTTACTGGTGGGACAAGCCGAGAGTGTGAGTGTGTCACGGGCTGGGGTGCCAGTCAAAGGGAGTCCAGAACAGGCCGAGGTCATGAGCCAAGAAGACAGTGCAAAGTCCAAAAAGCCAAGCCAGGGTCAGGAGCCAGGAACACAGAGCCAAGTCCAAAGCCAGCGGGTCCGAAGGTCTAGGTGCAAGAGCCGAGCCGGAGTGGATGCGAGCGGCACGAAGCTAACTCATTGCTTCCACGAAGGGTACTACTCAGAGTGTGGAGTTAAATGCTGCTACCAATTAACCGGCTACACGATCGGCCAGGCTCCTGTTAGAACTCTGGGCTGGCCGAGCGTCTCCCCTGTAGCCTGGCCTCTCTTCGCCTGCTTGCTAAGTTTTGCTGCAGTCGCTCCCTTAAACAAGTCACATGTGGGGGTGAGTAAGGAGGACTTCCAGCTTGTAATTCTTCCCCCCAGCTTGTAATTCTTCCCCCTTATCTGGGCCAGGTGTGAAGAATGCTGATACTGGCAACTGCCAGCTATCCTCCTCTGCTGCTTCAGAGGGGCCAGCTGCGGTTCCTTCTTGCAGCTCTGTCAGCTCTCCCTCATCCACGCCCATGACAGAGTGGAGATCTGGAAAGGGCCCAGCTTGGACCTCTCCTCTGAGCCCCCCTGCGTGGTCTTTGGCAAGCCAGGCGCCCTTGGTGCCCCCCTCTCCCAGCCCTCAAAGTAAGCAGAAGCCACAGCACCGGCCTGCTGTGCCGGGGCGTTGCCAGGATTTCCGAGACGCCCCGCCATGAGCCCTTGAAGGTTGCCTTGCCAGTGCAGACAGTTGAGTGGGGCTGAGTTGAGAGAGGGCCCAGCACCGTCCAGCTTGGGAGACCTTTCCCTGCTGGCTCACCCAGTGTCCTGTCACCTCCAAGTCCGCAGACTCTCCCCGAGGAGTCGTGCCAGGGCTGGTGCCGCGAGGGTCCGGTCCGCCTCCGCCCAGCTTGCGCTCGTGACTCCTTTCCTTCCTCTCTTTGCCAGTTGCTGGACAGCGACCAAGAGCTGTACAAGAACTTCCCCCTGGTCATCTCAGAGCGCTGGCAGCAGGAGGTGGCCGAGACGGTGTACGATGCCATCAATGCGGACACGGACAAGATCGAAGCCCGGAAACGAGCAAAGAACAAGCAGCTGGGGCACGAGGAAGGTAGCTGGCCAGTTCAGACCACTTTCCGTGGCGGCGTTTTGCGGCAGACGAGAAGATCTGGGGGGAGGGGTGCTCTGGGGAAGGAGAAGGTGCCCTTTTGTGTATTCATGGGCCGCTGTTCACAGGGTCCGTTGCAATGCTCCCTCTCAGCTGTGGAGTCCTGTGAGCAAAAATCCTACTTTGTGAGCTACCGGCATTGACGTTGTGAGCAGGTGATTTGGCTGCTGCATAAATTCGTTTGCTGCAGAGCCCTCCTTCCTGAGCTAAGACAAAAATGTGTGAGCCGGAGGGTAGAAAACTGTGGGCTAGCTCACACTGACTCAGCTTAGAGGGAACACTGGTCCCCTGTCCAAGTGTTGCTGGCTTGCGTTTGTTGTTGGATTTTCTGGGTTGGTACAGTGCAGGAATCTTTACCTTAAGCAGCAATGTCCATAAAGGCTAACCACTCTGTGAAGCGGGCGCTGAGTGTGCTAGCACGCTGATGAAGTTACATGGCGCCAGTAATCATATTTAAAGCTAATAAGACTTCTTTATTACAGTGAACTCCATTCTAGGAAGGATAGATGACAGATAGGAATAGATTCTATGCTAACTATCTTTGGATGGTCATGGGTGCAGGGAAGAGGGGGCCCATGTCCGTTGTTCAAGGAGAAGAGCAGTGTGAGAGGAGGAGTGTCTGTGTGTCTGTCTGAGGCAGGAAGGAAATTGCTTCCAAAGAAGTCTCAGTCTACACATCGAAGGAGAGAGTGGCAGGAAGTAAGCTCAGGGTCTGCCCATCTAGCTAACTCACTCTTTTGTCATGTCTTCTGGAGGCTAGAGCCAAAAGGGCTGTGTCAAGTCGTCTTCTCTTAACATTTATACTGTGATCTGCAAGCACCTTTGACCCCCCCCCCCTCCCCTCCCCTCCCCTCCCCTCCCGTAGGTGCTTTTGATCCCTGTGTCGGCCTGTTAACTCTCTTCTCCCCCCCCCATTGTTAAATCATCTCCCTCTGTGGAGCCCTCCAGCGGTTGAAATGTACGGCGCAATCCCCTTGTGGGGGTGTCATGGGCTGGGGTGCCAGTCAAAGGGAGTCCAGAACAGGCCAAGGTCAGGAGCCAAGAAGACAGTGCAAAGTCCAAAAAGCCAAGCCGGGGTCAGGAGCCAAGAACACAGAGCTAAGTCCAAAATCACTAAACAGAAATGTAGTCCAAAGCCAAGCTGGGGTCAGGAGCCAGGAACACAGAGCTGTCCAATGCCTGGGGGTCTGAAGGTCTAGGTGCAAGAGCTGAGCTGGGGTGGATGCAAGCAGCATGAAGCTGACCTGTTGCTTCCATGAAGGGAACTGCCCAGAGTGTGGAGTTAAATGCTGCTATCTATTAGCCAGCTGCACGATCGGCCAGGCTCCTGTTAGAACTCTGGGCTGGCCGAGCGTCATCCCTGTAGCCTGGCCTCTCATCGCCTGGTTGCTAAGTTTTGCCGCACTCACACGTGGGGTTGAGTCAGGAGGGCTTTGAGCTTGCAGTTCTTCCTTCTTATCTGGGCCAGATGTGAAGACTGCTGTTGCAGGCAACTGCCAGCTATCCTCCTCTGCTGCTTCAGAGGGGCCAGCTGCGGTTTCTGCAGACTCTGTCAGCTCATCCTCATCCAGGCCCATGACACTGGAGACTTCTTTTGCTCGCATTGTGCCATGAAGTCAGCGGAGCTGTTGAGATGACAACCACTGCCATTAACAGTTTTTTTCCCCAAAATGATATTGCCACAGATTACGCTCTGGGGAAGGACTGCATCATGCACGGCTACATGCTGAAGCTGGGGAACCCCTTCCTGACACAGTGGCAGCGGCGCTATTTCTACCTTTTCCCCAACCGGCTTGAGTGGCGCGGAGAGGGAGAGTCGCGGGTGAGTGGGGCTGCGTGCCTGCGGGCGGGAGAGGCTTCCCTTGGGAGCAGCCCCTGGCGCCGGGTGCGGGCGAGAGTCCTGCCCGCCTCAGCTGGGCCCTGCTCCCAGAGTAGGGACAGAAGGCCTGAGGCTGCTGCGGTGGCGCACTGGGGAGTTTGTAACCGTCTCGTTTCCCCCTTTAGCACTCCTGGCGCGCTTATGCAAAAAAGCACAGACCGGTAAGGCGGCAGAAGCTCTCCCACAGTCGTTCCCAAACTGCCTGTCACTCGGGAATGGTTGATTTGCCACAAGAAGCAGAGGAGCAGAAGCCCCTGGGACTCCGTGAACGGAGGGGCCTGCCTGGGTGTCTCTGGCAGCCTCTCCGGGGAGTGGGAAAGAGCTCAGTTCGAGTCCCGGAGTGCCGCAGGGGCCTGCCTGGTTTCCAGGGCCTGAGCTTCCGAGGCTCAAAGCTAAACAATCCATTTTCAGTGCACCTTTTTGCCAGTTCACACAGCAAAATCCAGTCTGAAAGTGCGCTGAGAGTGGATTGCTGCAGCCCCCGTCAGATGCCCTGGAGATCTTGTGGGTCCCTCAGGCGTGGCTGGGCTGGAAGTGAGCTCTTCTGCCGCCGGTCTCCTCGGATCAGGGGGTTCTGCCGTCGTGCCACTGCCCTGGGTGCGGCAAGGGCATCCCTTTGCTCCAAATGCAGCCGCAAAAGCTCTCAGAGGAGGCTGCCCGTTGTGTTTCTTCATGAGCCATTCTGGTCAGGAGACACGACTGGACCAGTGCAAGGAAACTGCGGGTGGGCTCCTCCGAGGGCAAGGCCGGTCCCGTTCTTTCTCCTCCCCCATGTGTTTAAATCCTGCTTTTGGGGGGGGGGGGGGGGGGGAAAATCCATTTTTGCTTTTGCCACGACTGGGGGACTTGGGGCGCTTTCCAGTTGCCCTCCGAGGTGGCCTAAGGACCGCCGTGGACCGGGGCCGCGTGGCTGGGTGGGGGAGATCCCGGCCAGGCCGCTCGGGACGGTGTTCCTGGTGGCAGTTTGGGAAGGAGCTGACCTTTCTCCTCCTGTTCCCCTCCGGCTGCTTACCTTCATGCAGGTCACCCTGTGTGAAGCCCGCCTTCCTCCCCCCCCCCCAGTACTAGCCAGCCGTCGTGATTCCATTGTGTGTGTAGCAAAGAAATCCCCGAGTGCATCCCAGGAGAGACACGGGCAGCAACTGTTTGACTGTCCTTGCTCTTTGGAGAAGCGGCAGCAGCAGCCAACCGCCGTGCAGCAAACTGGACTACGAGCACCTCCGCCACCTCCCCCCCTCCTGGAGGGGGAAATCATAGAGTTGGGGCAGGGAGGCCAAGGCCCGGCCTTCAGGTCGCCCTGTGGACATGGGGCTCCCTCTGCCTTCTCTTCCAGCCCCCTTCCTTCCTCCTGAGCGAGTGAGCCTTAAGCCCTGATTCTCCTCCGCTTGCTTTGTGCTCCGCCCATATATTGGGGGGGGGTGTGTTACTGTGCTTGAACAAATTCTAGAAAATAGCAAAAGCAAGAACGCGCGTTCTTCCCACACGCAGCATCTGTTGAGCTGAACCTGCCGCAGTATTCCAGTTTGCAGAACGTTCTCTTTCCCCGTAGCGGTGGCCTCCTGTTGTGCCGTGGCGTGACTCTGAGAGTGGTGTTAATGCCGCTTCTTCCGTAGCTGCCTTTCCCCCCCACCCTCTCAGTCGAGCAGGATCAGGCCTGTGGCCAGCTTGGGCTAGTGGGCTGTGCCTGCCCAGAGCCAGGATCCAGGCTGGGTCTCTTTTCCTCCCTCAGCAAAACCTGCTGACAATGGAGCAGATCGTGTCCGTGGAAGAGGCTCACGTCAAGGACAAGAAATGCATCTTGCTCAGGATTAAAGGAGGGAAGCAGTTTGTGCTGCAGTGCGAGGTAACCAGCGCTGTTCCGGGGGGAGGGGGGGGAGCAGTTCTGAACTAACACTGTAATGCAGGGGATTTCCCTTCACCCCCAGAATTCCCACTCAGCCCTAGAAAATTCAATGAATTACTGGTGAAAGCAAGCTGGAGAGTTACTTTACATTTCCAAAATGCTTCCCCCCTTCCCCCAAGTGTTTGAAGCATTTCACTAATCTTGACAGCAGCCTTGTTTGGTAGGTCAGTAGTAGTATTTATGACGTGGGCATGATTTGAATGCAGGACTTTATGGCAGTGCTCTTAGCCACTCAGATGCAGTAGTGCAGAAATGCGCTGCTTTCCTCTGCCCACTTGGTGAAGGAGAGGGACACAGCTTGGGTGAGCTTCTTCTGTGGCATTTACAACCAGGTGCGTTTTCAGCCGTTTCCATCAGGTTGCAGACGTGTGTGTGTGTGTGTGTGTGTGTGTGTGTGTGTGTGTGAGAAAGAGAGAGAGAGAGTCTCACATGGAACATTTTTGGAGATGGAAGGGTCTGTCCCATTAACCCTGCATGGGAATGAAGAAGAGGAGGAGGAGGAGATTGGATTTATACCCCGCCCTTCACTACCCAAGGGAGTCTCAGTTGTTGTTGTTCAGTCGCACAGTCAAGTCCGACTCTCCGCGACCCCATGGACTAGCTCCCGCCAGGCCCTCCTGTCTTCCGCCGTCCTCTGAAGTTTGCTCAATTTCATGTTCCTTGCATCGATGACACTGTCTAACCATCTCATCCTTTGCCGTCCCCGTCTTCTTTGACCTTCAATCTTTCCCAGCATCAGGGTCTTCTCCAGTGAGGGCTCCCTTCTCATTGGGTGGCCAAGGTATTTGAGCTTCAGTTTCATTATCTGGCCTTCCAGGGAACAGTCAGGGTTGATTTCTTTTAGGATTGACTGATTTGATCTTCTTGCAGTCCAAGGGACTCTCAAGAGTCTTCTCCAGCACCATAGTTCAAAAGTCTCAGAGCGGCTTACAATCTCCTTTCCCTCCCCCTCCCCACAACAGAGACCCTGTGAGGTAGGTGGGGCTGAGAGAGCTCTGACAGAAACTGCTCTTTTCCAAGAACAGCTCTTATCAGAACTACGGCTTGCCCAAGGTCATCCAGCCAGGTGCAAGTGGAGGAGTGGGCAATCAAACCCGGTTCTCCCAGATGAGAGTCCGTGCACTTAACCACGACACCAAACGGAGTGGGAATCCAGTAGAATGGGTGTGTTAGTTGGCTTGGCTTGGCTTTCCAGGTCCTTGTTCCAGAGTAAAATGCTTCTTAAGGCAAGGCTTTTCACTCTCAAAATGTTTGTGTGTGAGAGAGAAAGAGAGAGAGAAGTGCTGTCAAATCACTTCCAACAGCTGGCAACCCTGTGAATGAACGACCTCCAAAATGTCCCTTCGTAAACAGCCTTGCTCAAGCCTTGCACACCGCGGCTTCCTCGACCGAGTCCCTCCATCTGACGTTGGGTCTTCCTCTTCTCCTGCTGCCTTCCGCTTTCCCCAGCTTTACTGTCTTTCCCAGGGACTCTCCTCTTCTCATCACGTGACCAAAGTATGGTAGCCCCGCAGTTAGCATGCAAAAATCTGAGGACTTTTTCAGTTTTTCCAATGTGAAAATCGGGAGGTTTTGGATGGATGGCACTGAAAACAAGTTGCTACCCTCATGTTTTAAGTAACCCTTAGGGCTCAGGTAGTGGTTCCCTGGGGGAGTCTATTCTCCTGATGTGTTCAAGCTCATTTGACTCCCGGCTGTCTTTGGTACGCCGAGTAATGCTGCCCCCAGCCTATCCCTTCCGGTCCTGTATATAGAGCTCGTATCCAGTGATAACACAATATCCCCACTGATTTTCCCCATCCCACGGGATTTCAGAAACGCCCGCTAGGTCTAAGTTGTCCTTTAACGCTAAACACTCCTGCTCCCCCATCTTGGCTCGGAGGCTTCTAGCTTTGGCACGTGTGCCTTGTTTTGCTCTCCAGGGACCCCTGCCTCCCTCCGGTTCACTACACACGTGGCCTCCTTTATTGCGCTCCTCTCGTTTTCAGGTTCTCACCTGCTCCCGTCCATATTTCCCCAAGTGCTGACTGCATCATCCCGGAGGCGGCCCACAGCTGAGCCCTGGGATTGGTTTGAGAGCTCCCCTGACAATTTTTTGATGACACCGAGTGTCAGCCGTCTGGCTCCCTTTCAGTTCAGATGAAGCCTGTCCTTTTTTGTGTGCAAGTTTGGCTTGTCCCATAAAGTTCCCCAGAGCCTAACCCATCGAAACCCTTCCTCCTGGCCCCACTTCCTCTTCCACATATCAAGCCCCTCCCCCCCCAATCAGTGCCTGTCTTGGATAGCCGCCACAGATGTTGGAACACTTGCACATCTGAAGACGCCCAGGGAGGACCGCACAACTACATTTCCCAGTGTCATCGGTGCCAATGTACATATTTGTTCACTTCATTTGTACTCTGCCTCTTCCGCCATCATGAATTCCGGCGCCTGCCCCCGGCACTAACTCTCAGCCTCTCTAGACAGCGCCTGCTGCCTTTGCACGAGGCAAGGTCATCCTGCAGCTAGAATAACCATCACAGATCCTGTGATGATTAGAAAAGGAGATTAGAAAGAGGGACTGCTGAATTGCAACTGATAACGAAGCTCAAGACAATGCATCCACCTGGACTTAACTGAGACCTAGGTTTCCTGTCTTGTTACCAATGCTGATTTCTCCATGCCTGCTACCCCTCTGCATATCGCACCTAATCCAATCACGCCTGCTGTTGTCCTTCACTTGCTATTGTCATTTGTCTGCTAAAGTCATTTGGCATCTGAAATCACTCCATTTCCCAATAATTAGGATAGATGGACTCACATTCTAGCCGTATCTGAAGAAGTGAGCAGTGACTCACGAAAGCTCACACCCTACCACAAATTTTATTGGTCTTTAAGGTGCTCTTTCCTCCTGCTCTCTCTATTCCTATTGATTGAATTTCCCACTACTAAAAGCCCACCTTCCCCAGCCCCAGAGGGGTGTTCTTGGTCCAACAGGGCATTGGTTTGTCATCTAAAGAAGGGGTACCTTCCAAGGGGTCCTTGGAGAGCCAGTTTGGTGTAGTGGTTAGGAGCTGGTGTGACCTCGGGTCAGTTACAAGTTCTTTCAGAGCTGTTCTCTCAAGAGCAGTTCCCGAAAGAGCTCTCTCCGCCCCACCTCCCTCACAGGGTGTCTGTGGTGGGGAGGGGAAGGGAAAGGAGACTGTAAGCCGCTCTGAGGGAAGGGCGGGGTATAAATCCAATCTCCTCCTCTTCCTCCTCCTCCCTTTCCTCCCACCTCAGCCTGATGCTCTCCTACCCGGGTGACTGAGTCTGAACTCGGAGGCCGTGAGCGGCAGGCTCGCTCTCCAACATCCCCCAGTCCCTTGGGAAATATGCAGAGCTCATAGCTCGCCCTTCCCTTTGGCTGAGGCCCTCCTTAGCTGTTTCCAACTCTCCCAGCACCAGGTTTTTAGAAATATTGTACGCCACCTGGGGATGATATTATTTATTTATTTATATTTGCATGTATATCCCGCCCTCCCCGCCACTTAGCAGGCTCAGAGCCGCTAACAACATACATAAATATGCATTAAAATTCCATTAAACTATCAATCAATATAAAATCATACTACATAAGCATAACTTATATTAAAAGATGACGAATCTTCCAGTATCAACTGTCAGTGTACGGTGTCCACAAGCTCACGCCCAAGAACAATAATGTTGTTGTTGTTGTTGTTATTATTAGCAGCTCACGCCCAACATCAACATTATTATTACTTTTATTATTGTTGTTGTTATTGTTTTATTATTGTTTTTATTATTATTATTGTCGTCGTCGTCATCTCACAAGCTCACGCTCAACAATATTATTATTATTATTATAAATAGTAATAATAATAATAATATCGTGGTTTATAGAGGAGATTCTTGGGGGACCGCAGATCTCTGCTCTTGTAGGACGAGGCTGCCGTCAGGCCAGCCCCGGGGTCTTCTTCACCCGTGCCGTTGACTTCCTGTGTGTTTCTTCCAGAGCGACCCCGAGTTTGTGCAGTGGAAGAAGGAGCTGACCGAGGCCTTCACCGAAGCTCAGCGGCTGCTGCGTCGAGCACCCAAATTCCTGAATAAGTCCCGTTCCGCGGTGGTGGAGCTCTCCAAGCCGCCCCTGAGCCACAGGAACAGCAATGGCCTTTAGGAGCCATTGGGGGGGAGGACAGAAGACGGCCGGGGGCGTGGCGGCCCGGGCGTGGCTGCACCTCTCCCGGTTCCTCCCGCACTCTACGGAGCGGGGTGCCCTCTGGCGGGCAAGAGCGTTGGCCCTCGGTGCCCGGGACGATGCCAGGAACCCACCTCCAGGAGTCGGGGGAGGCTGATGCGGCGGCGGGAGAGAGGATGGACGTGGGGCATTCTGCTTGCCCCCCCCCGCGCCTGTGTTTCTCAGTGGGCTGAAACCCCCAAAGGAGGAAAGGGCTGCTGCTTTGTGACAAACCTGTTCCAGTGCACTCTCTCAGACTGGCCGGTGGCAACGACGGCCACCCATTCTCGGATTGCGTTGCTCCACCCAGAAGGCAGAGGGGCCCTCGCCCCCGTGGCAGGACAGGAGCTTTTCGGGGATGCTGCACCCGCCCATCTCGGGGGGGAGGGGGCTTTCCCGAACCCTTGCCCCGTTCTGCTGGCCCTCAGCAGTGGGACCCCTCCCCGATCTCCCCGCTGTCCCACTCAGCGGAGGAACCCTCCACGTCTGTGGTTTGAAACATCCTGCTGCTGCTGCGGCTGCTGCTTCACGGAGAAGACGTCGCATCCCGAGTCGTTTGTTGCACTTTGTTGCTGTCCTCTGCCTTTGTTTTGCTTCTCTCCCCCCCACCTGCAGAACCGTCCCAGACAGGGGAGAGGAGAGGAAGGACCAAAAAGACCGGAGTGGGTGGGGGTGGGAGTGTTCTCTTTGCATTCAGGCCGTTCTGTGTATGTGCGAGTTTCCCCCCTTTTTAAAAAAAAAAAAAAGAAGTGGCCCGTGTTGGAGAGGTTTACAGTCAATTCGGAGTGAGCTTTTCTCTCATTTCTAGTCCTGCAGCCCTCTGAAGACGGCCAGTGTTGGGTGGCTTGGCTCAGCTAGTCAGCATCCTCAAAGGATGTGTCTCACGGATGTCACTGTTGTTGTCCCCCCCCCCCGGGGGGGGTTATCTGTACTGAGCCTCTCTGTGGGAGAAAGTGGCTGGAGGAAGGAGAAGGCCACTGTCCATTAGTGGGGTTGCGTGAGAAGGGGTTCCAGACACGGCCCGTGGCTCTCCTCTTCCCTTGGGTGCGGAATCACCACGTGGGTGTGGGGGGGGGACCTCTTTTCTCTGGGAGGAGACTTGTAGTGAGCTCTCTCTCTCTCTCTCTCTCTCTGAGCTCGGGAATGACATGACTGCTGTATGTGGGGTCACAGCGCATCTCGTCCTTTTCCTCAGTCGTTTCTTCCCTACTTCCGTGGCCCAGAAAGTTTGAAAATGGTGTCCTTCCAAGATGAGCCAGTAAAAGTCCCCCCAGGTCCAGAGTTGCCATCAGAATGTCCCTGGCTCAGGATGGGAGGAGTCGGAGAAGCGCAGGAATGGGGACTTCCTTCCCAGCCCTCCTTCGGGGAAGACAAACTTTTTAATTTTGTATTGACCACCAAGGTTTGGCAAACTGCACTTCCAGAAATGTTCCAGGTTGTCTTTGTGAAGATCACTGTTTTTAGGCACCGTCCAGGTTCCGCTTTTGGTTGCAGTTTGGCAGCGCTCCAGAAATGCCCTCCGAACGCGGGAGCTTCAGTGCACATGTGAAGCTCTCCTGCGTTCGTGGAGCACTATTAGCATGTTGGTTTCAAGCTCCAGATCCCCAGGCAGGCTCCTTTCCTTGCGCCAGGCTGCTCGGCCGGTAGGAATGAATCTGGACACGCTGGAGCTCCGCCCGGCAAGCTTCGATCAGAGCGACTAAAGGGTTCTTCCCATCTGCCTGCAGCCCTTTGCAGCGGGTAGTGTGTCAGCTGCACAAGCCTGGGTCTGGTGTGTGGCCCCTAACAAGACCCTGCGATGTCCTCTAAAAACCCATCTCCTCACGGAGTCCTGGCCTGCTTCCTTTCTTGGAGCCTCTTCCCAATGGGCTCTGCTAGGAAGATCCGACGGGCGAGGGCGCACAGAGGCCTCCGGTCTGCTCCTGGCCTTTTCTCCTCCCCGTGTCTCCCTGAAACCTGCCTACTCCGCATGGCTAGCGGCTGGTTTCCCGCCACCATCACACGAGGCCCCGGAGGCAGCACAGTCTGGCCCCGGCTGCTCTCTTGCACCCCCTCCTGGCACAAGGGCTGCTGCCCTGTGGGCGTGCCCTCGTTCCTCGCACCCGAGAGTTGTGGTTGTAGATCTCTTATGCGTGTGTGTATGTTACTTTTTTTAAAAAGTTTGTGTTGATTTTAGCGTAGTGTTGTTTTATAAGCATCCTGATTCAATAGCTACATTTCTGAAAGTCTGAAAGTCCTGACTTTTTATAGTGTTGGCTCCGGTTTTCTTGCAAAGAGGGAGGGGCCTCTGCAATGAGAAGAAGCCAAGCGTGGTTTTCTTTGGTGGATGAACTTTTTATGGGTAATATGTTGATTTGAAAATGAGACTGGGCAGACACTTGAATGGACTGTACTCCTGTACGCAGCGACCTCATTTTATTTTATTTTATTTTTGTAAACATTGGAGTAAGCTATTATTTAAAAATAGCCTGGATTTAGATTAAAGTGTTGCTTCAGATGCACATGGTGGGATAGAAATATTTCTCATTTCCACTTGGGGTGCATTGTCAATAGGAATAAAATATGAATATGAATGTTTATTCTATTTAATTTCAAATCTGTTACGTCTTAGGATGCTGTGGCGCTTTACCTGAGGCTTGTGCTGAAATCTTTTAACTGTGTCTTGGTCCAACTGTTGTGTGTGTTTGTCGATGAAAAAGAATCTCCTCCTGCTCCGATGTGAAGGGTTTCCATCCCGTTGCAATCCGTGAGGCCCTGGTGGCCGTGCTTTAGTGTGGACTCTGTGGATTTCAATGGGGTTTTCAGTGCTGCTAACTTTTCTCTGGAGCCTGAAATTTAGGGAGGGGGATGAACGATGGTCAAAAGCTGAGAAAAAGATAACAATCTGCAAACAAAGGACTGACACACAGAAAGATTTCAGTGATGTTTCTGCTATAGGTCCTGGGTTGTTTAAAATCTTGGGCCTAAAGGAAATTGTGGGGCGGGGAGGGGCGGGGAAGGGATTCGTCGCAAGCAGAGGAAATGCCTGGTAGTTCTGTTCACACTGCAGTGTCCTCCTAAGGGGGATGTTAAACCATCTCCTGGTTCAGC